GTTTGAAGCAGTAATTTTACATTGAAGTTATATGCTTAAAAATGCCCTTTTATGTTTAGAATGAGAATAAACATTATTCAAACCACATGAAAATAAATTTAGTGAAGTTATTCAAACTACAAAACTCCTTGCCTATAAATTAATTTTATTTTGTTGAAACATGCTTTAATTTGAAAAAAAAAGTGTGTTCTAAATTACTGTTTTACCATCTTAAATTAGTTACTGAAGCTTGAAATCAATAACTTTTATATTTTTATCTTATTTTCTCAACAAACATGTTGTGAGTAACTTGTCTGTGAGGCCCTATTCTCATCTCCTTATATATACATATATAGGAAAAGAATCAGACAAAGATCCCTGCTCTTGAGAAGCTTCTATTTCAAGCCATAGGAGATAGAATTATGTAAATAATAGAGCAACAATACTTGGAAATGTGTGTGTGTGGTGATAGGAAGTGGAATATAGTTTTTAGTCATATAATTAATGTAGGAATCATTAAAAAATGACATTCAAGCACACATTTGAAAAAGGTAAGAGATTTAGTTCTACCAGTTTCAGGGACAGGTATTCCAGACAGGGGTCAAAAACCCTGAGGCACAAAGGATGGGTGAGCTCCAAGAGTAATGGGAAGCCAGATGATATATGGCATTTCATTGTGAATAAATTGGGGAACCATTACAGAATCTTGAGAAGAAGTGTCAGGATCTAACTTACATTTCAGAAAAGTCAGTCTGGGCACTGTGTTGAGAATGAAGTTTCAACACAATTGAGTAAATGCTAGCCAACCGGTAAAAAGTTTATCATGAGAATTCAAGCAAAAGATTTTACTGGTTAGGCCAGGATGGTAATAATAGAGAAGATGAGATTCTGCACATATTTGGAAAATATAGTCAATTTGGTAAATTAGATGCCGAATGTAAGAGAGAAATATGTAAGAGAGAAATAGGAGTCAAGTTTAAAGTTTAGGACTAAACAGTTCAAGAAATACGTTGCAATCAAACAAGATAGAGATGGCTGTTGGAGGATCAGTGTTGGAGGAATAATATGAAGAGTTGCATTTGCAAATGTTGATTTTGAGAGATTTATTAGATCCAGGTGAAAATATTGAGGAAGCAGTTGGATATATGACCCTGGAGTTTAAGGAGACAAATAAGTTTCCAGACAGGAAATTTGCATATGTTTTGGATTCTTTGTGCTTAGTGTTGAAGAATGACTTGAAGTACTGAATTAAAGTTAGAAGGAAGAGTGACAAAGTTTCATATTCTCTGAAGTCTCTTGTTGTTTTCTCCTGTTTCTGTGTCATTTTAATTAGTGACCAGCAAATTAGAAAATTCTATATTTGAAAAAATGTTTCATTTTCTCAATATTATGTTATTTTAACTGTCTCTCAGTTTTCATAGGACACATGTAGGCTAGTACTGTAATACTTGGGAAATGGGCACAAATGTATTTATTTGCCAGCCCTGCTTGACTCTGTTGATGATAGGAAAATTTAAAAAAAAAAAAAGCATAAGATTGAAAATAGAAATGTAAACAGCCAAAGTCTACTCTTTGGCAGCTTAGTTCACAGTAAGTAGTTTCCTGACATTAGTTGTGGAATATTAAACAATTTAAAGTTCAAATAGTGTTTTTTGCTTTTTTGTTTTTTTGTGGAAGCAGAGTAGGGGGTAGTGATTACAGTCACCAAAATGGAAAGTCAAATGAGAGAAAGTAATTATGTAAATTGTGTTTCTTGAAGGCTTTTAGAATTTTTAATTCATATACTCTAAGTATCTGGAAGCACATTTAGTTCCTGTTTGGAGAGATGAAAGCCTTGCCATAGCCTCATCTGTAGGCTTGTGGCAATGTGAGTTTCTCCCGGGTGTATGTGCACGGAAGAGTAGAAAGGGCTGAGTGGGCAGTTGGCAGCCATACATCGCATTGATTGCAGTCATTCATAAAACCCAGCAGGGTGAGGGCGGAGTCAGGAGGAGCATTCCCCTGAGGTGGTTGCAGAATGTCTTATTTGCATAAATCTTCAGTGAGGCTTGAATGATGAGGAGATGCTCACATATTAGGAGACATTAAGAGTCCATGTCTGATAAATCCCGGTATAATTAATGACATCTCAAAGAATAAGGGGTCAGACCCTTTGAACTCTTAGTCCCTCCATCCTCGGTAATTCCAGGAAGTCAGCAGTATTGCTGCATTTGTGGTCTCCTAATGTCTGGCTGAAGGAATGAATCATGTATAGCAACAGACTCTTAATAGCTGCAACATTCTGACATATCATTGTCTTGTTTCTTGAAGTATGAGGGGGTCTATATTTAATATACTTTGTCTAATACATGGGAGATAATGGAAATTGCTGGAGCTAAACAATTTCCATATATTAGAACTGTCAAAAGTATGAAGATTTTATGCCTCCAAACTGACACAATTCAATTATAATTTTAAAGAAATGTAAGTCCACCCAGGCTAACAAAAATCTCATATTTTATAGTTTTGTTGTGTCTTGTTTGGGGCATAGTATAGTTTTTTCTTTCTTGTACCAAGGAGAAATTTCAGCTCAAAGGAATTCAGGTTTGAAAATATAAGAATATATATTATCATAGTTTAACCACTTCCCCACAATTTTGTTGAAAAATTAGAAATTTGAAACAAAGAGTTACCCTCCTCAAGACTCAAATTAATAGCTACTACATTACCCTAGGGTATGTGTTCTATGATCAGCAAATATGCTAATATAGAAAATGTGATCATCTCCTATTTTTAAAAAAGTACATTTAATTAACTCCAAATATGTTGTTTTTGAAGAGTAACATGTATTTTTATTATTCAATAAAACCTTAAAGTTCAGCAATTCAAATCAAGTTTTTGTCAGAAAGATTCTATAGTGTGTATGACAGAAATATGTTGGCTATTGTCATTTTAAATCCCAAATCACTGTTGTACTTAGATTAGATTTTTTTTTAATGGCCTTTTAGTTAGCAGGGAGGAAAAGTTTGGCTTTAAAACCTACCCCTACTATTGGGTAAATCTTTGCCTTATTTAGAAAGTAGTTACTTCCAAGCATATTTAAGAAAAATTCCTAGTGGTAGATTTTGTTTTTCTTAGATCTTTGTGTAAATATCTGGAACATGAAGGGAGGAAAAAAAGGAACCAAACATTTTTTATTATATAATTCAAATTTTTTTCTGAGTTGGTGATACGTAAGATTTTTACAAATCAGTTCCTGTAGGTTAACCAGCCTGATATTCTATTTTTAGTTGAATAAGAATTGTTAAAAGATTTTCCAGTACTTCAAAATTTAACTTACTGGACATTGTACCTTGTGTAAGTTAGATTAAAATTTCAGGGCTTTCTTTTCCATAACAACTGCCTCCCTAAATGTTCTTTTCATGCTGATGTGTGATTGGCCTTCTCCCATGAAACTGGAATAGTCACATAGGGCTTTGTGGTTCTCAGGGATTTCACTCCTCTCTCCTGACCAATCCATTGAGAGTTTAGCATTTGCTCTTGAGAAATGCCACATTTCTTTACTGTTATCTCAGGAGGAAGGTGTGCAGAGGTTTGAAATGGCACCATTTTCTTTTCTTGTCATGTTATATATTGATTTTTCTAAGTCTCACTTGACCTTGTTTGGAATGAGCAATGTGTGTGTGCACGTTTCTGTGCGTTGTGTCCACGTTTCCCTGTATGATTTCTTTCAGAAGTGGAGAACTTTGCCACGCAGCTTTTAGTACTGGGAAACAGTTTATCCACTCCTGCCTCACCAGTGATACACTTCTGGAATAACATGACTGGTCCTAAATATGAGCACTGCAGTCAAATCGCCCCCGCAAAAGTTAAATCAGACTCATGCTTGGGGGTTCTGAATCCTAAGGGACATTTCTATTTAGCAAAATCTAAGATGTAGGGTTTCAGTTTTATTACCAAGACTTCCCTCCTCAAGGCTGTGTTTGTTTTAAATCATATGAGGAGAAACAATATTTGGCTGGGATGTAGCTCACTGGTAGAATGATTGCCTAGCATGCCAGAGGCCCTAGGTTCAAACCCCAGCACTGGGAGGGGAAAAACGAAAGGATTAGGAGAAGGATATCTGAGTCATCCAAGTACAGTATAGCCTCAGATTGAAATGTTTTCTGATTTTGGCCAATTAATCTCTTTCATGCTCCATAAATTCACATATGTGAGTAAAAAGACTTGGGATGTAGTTCATTGGTAAGCACTTGTCTGATATTCATGAGGACCTGGGTTCAATCCCTAGCATTGCAACAAAGCAGAACATGAGAATAAAAATATCAACTCCTTCTCCACTTTGGGACTTTGTTATATTGTTTACCCTCTGCATTAACTTATTTTAACATGAAGAATTTAATGCACAAAGACTTTTTATTGTCATAATGTGGAGATACTCTCTCTTACTACACACAAGTGCAGGTGCACTATTTGTATGAACATGTCTTGCCATCTCCTACTTGTAATTAGTGTGAAGGGAATTTTGACTGTGGAGAATATCTTAAAGTCTTTTAGGTCTCTTTTTGTATAAACAGAAAGACCTATGTGGAGACTAATGGAATGAAACAAGAGTCCATATTTTTTTTTTTTTTTTTTTAGTAAAACTGCCAAAGCCATTGAAAATCCTGCTCGATTTTTAACATATCAACACAACAGCTGTTCCTATTTTTAAGCTTTCAGATGTCTTCATATGGTGAAGCCAAAGCTTTCAATAGCTTTTCTGCTATGGGGAAAGCTGCTGACAATCATTTTATTGATGCTAAAATGAAAACCAAGTACAGAGGCCAGCACAGATTTTATTTGAGTATAACTGAACTCTTAGAAGCATGAGTCAAAGATTTTTTAATTCTAGAGGCCTTTCCAGTACCCCATGGTTAATATTGAAGGAGCTTGCAAAGACTTTTCTATAGATTGTGTTTTCAGTACCCTGTTTAATTTCCAGATGTGTTCTACCCTTTTTATAATTAATAGTGCGTTATGCTGTCTATCATGCGCCCCAGGTGTGTTGTCAGGGATATGGCGAAGCCTGCTGCCTGCAAAACACCAAGAAATGCTGAAAACCAGCCCCAACAACCTCCACCGTAAGTATAGCATTGGTTTTATTGAATGAAAATGTCCTCTCTTACACAGATCACTGGTTACAGATTTATTAATTCACATTGCATGTGGGAGTAGATATTCTGGCTTCTCTGGTATAATAAAAAGGCTACTATTGAATTAGATGAAGTTATCTGGAAACATGAGCTCTGGATTAAGTATCTTTAATAACTGACATTTCTAATAATATTACAGGGATGAAACTAGTTAGAGGAAAGGAAATGTGTTTTAGGGCTATAGAATAGCAGCAATTCTGTTTTTTGTTTTGGTTTGGTTTGGCTTTTTTGCCAAAGTTTAGATAGGGTGCTGAATGGGGGCCAGAGTGTGTAGGTAAGGAAAATTCATAACTAGCTCATTATCCAACCTTCACGCTATATTACTTAAAGGTAATGGGACATTCTAAATGAGTGGATTCTCCATCTAGTTTCATTTTTATTAATGCATTCTTAGCTGTAGGTATGAATGATTGACTATTAATTAATCAACAAAAGGGAAAATTAGAAATAGGAAATAAAATATGCAAGCTCTGAATTTCAAATGTGAATTTTGATGAGATAAATGTAAATAATTTTAAAATTCTTTATACTAGTGTGATCTATTTAATCCTTTGAATAGTGTTGTGCTCCCAGTTTTAAAAAGTTAAAATTTCCTTCAGGTGTCTCTGAAGCAGCAGTAAGGTTAGTGTAATCATTGTAGTCAAGTAGTTATTCCTGGGGCGAGCCTTCTTCCAAGCTTTGTGGAAGGGACTTTGAAGAAATGTGTCTTCAGATTAACTTTCTATAGATTCCTTTAGTTTATACCATAATTCTCTAAAGGAAAAACCAAAATGAAGTGATAAAGTAGTAAAAAGGCTATGAAGAAAGTAAAATTGTAACTATTTTGCCATAACATTTTATAAGTAAAAGAGAAAATTAATTTAATTTTATATGGAAGATATTTCTATCCAGAGGATTGCATATATCATGCTACTCTGCACAGTTTTACAGCTATTTACATTGTATCTCATCAAGAACCACATTCAGAACTCTATTTATTTGATTTCTTCTCTACTCCCTGCTTTCCTTGGTGTTTAGTCATAGAAATGCTTATGTTTTGTTTATTTCAAACAGTACTAATTAATTTTAGAATATTTATGATTTAGGATATAAAATTGTGTTTTTTATTTTATACTATTCCAATATATTGGTGCATATTATCTTTACAGAATGGTGGATTTCGTTGTGTCATATTCACATATACATAAAACATTATTTGATCAGTTTCACTCCCTATTACCTCTCCTACTCTCTTCCTCAATCTCCCTGATCGTTTCCCTTCCTTAATGGTTTCCTTTCTTGGCATTCCGTGTTTTACATGTTATCTTCCATCTAGCTTCTACATGTGAAAGGAAACATACAGAGTACTTTTACCTCTTGAGTCTGACTTATTTTGCTCAAAATTGTGGTCCCTAATTTCATCTATTTTCCTGTAAATGATATAATTTCACTTTTCATTATGGCTGATTAAAACCCATACACACACACACACACACACACACACACACACACACACACACCATATTTTCTTTATCCATTTATCTATTAATGGGCACCTTGGCTGAATCCATAATTTGGCTATTATGAATTATACTGCATGTATCTATAAAGTATGCTGACTTATATTCTTTTGGATAAATACCAAGGAGTGGTATAACTGGATCACGTGATGGTTCTATTTTTAGCTTTTTGAGGCACTTTCATACTGATTTCCATAGTAACTTTACCCATTTACATTTCCACTAACAGTGTATTAGAGTTCCTTTTTCCATACATCCTTAACAAAATTTATTGCTATTTGAAGTCTTGATGATTGCCATTCTAACTGCAGTGAAAAGAAATCTCAGGTAGTTTTTTAAAAATTCTTTTTGGATATACATTACAGTAGAGTGTATTTTGACATACATAACTTTATTCTAATTAGAATTCCATTACTTGAGGTTATAGATGATGTAGAATTTCACTGGTCATGTATTCATGTATGAACATGGGAAATTTATGTCTGATTCATTCTACTCTTACCTATTCCCATCCCTCCTCACTTCATTCTCCTTTGTCTAATCCACTGGACTTCTGTTTTCCGCCCCTCTCCCTGATTTAGCATCCACATATCAGAGAGAACATTTGACCATTTTTGGCAGGGAGATTGGCTTATTTCACTTAGCATGATAGTCTCCAGATCTATCCATTTTGCTGGCAAAATCATAAGTCTTTCTTTTTTATGGCTGTAATCTCAGGTAGTATTGATTTACATTTTCCTGATGGCTAATAATGTTGAACATTTTTCATATATTTGTTGGCCATTGGTACTTCTATTTTTAAGATATGTCTGTTCAGTTCATTTCTGAATTTACTGATTTTTTTTGTTTGTTTTGTGTGTTTCTTTTTAGTATTGTGTCTTTCTGAGTTCTTGTTGAGTCTTTATGAGTTCTTTATGTATTCTGGATAGTAGACCTCAGGCAGAGGAACAGCTGGCCAAGATTTTCTCTCATTCCATATCTTGTCCATTCACTCCGTTGATTATTTCTTTTGCTGTGCAGAAACTTTTTAATTTGATGCAATTTCACTTATTGATTCTTGCTTGTTTCCTGAGCTCTAGGGATTCTATCCTCCTGGATGTCTTTGTGCCTACATGCTGAAGTATTTTTCTTATTTTTTAAACAGTTGCATAGTTTCTGGTCTTATGTTTAGGTTTTTGATCCATTCTGAGTCACTCTAATACTAAGACCAGCTAAGGACACTATGAAGGAAGGGAAACTATAGACCAATTTAGTTGATGACTCTAAATGCAAAAATACTCAATAAAGTGTTAACAAATCAAATTCAAGAGCACATTATGAAAACCATAAACCATGATCAAATTGGTTTCATCACAGGGATACAAGAATGGTTCAATATCTGCAAATCAATAAATGTAATACAGCACATAAATAGAACCAAGGACAAAACCACATGATTATCTCAATAGATGCAGAAAAAATCCTTCAACAAAATCCAACACTGCTTCATGATGAAAACCCTAAAGAAACTAAGGACAGACATAACTTATCTAAACATCATAAAGGCTATGTATAACAAAATTAGCATCTTGCTGAATGGGAAAGAACTGAAAGCAATTTCTCTTAACATCAAGAACAAGTCAAAGATGTTCACTCTTACCACTCCAATTTGTTATATTGAAATTTTATGTAATTGAAATTCAATGTCATTGAAATTTTAGCCAGAACAATTAGGCAAGAGAAAGAAACAAAAGGGGTATAAATGGGAAAAGAAGAAGCTAAAGTATTCCTATTTGCAGATGGTATGATCCTATACTTACAAGATCTTAAAACTCCCACTGGAAGACTTCTAGTGCTAATAGAAAAATTCAGTAAAGTAGCTAATCAAAAAATTTAGTTGTAGCACAAAATCAACATATAAAACTCAATAGCTTATCTATATATCAATAATGAAAATGCTAAGAAAGAATTCAGGAAAATAATTCTGTTCACAACAGCTTAAAAAAACCCCTAGGAATAAACCTAATAAAGGAGGCAAAAGACCTCTACAATGAAAATCATAGAACACTGAAGAAAGAGATTAAAGATGCTACAAGATTAAAAGACCTTCCATGTTTATGGATAGGCAGAATTTATGTTGTTAAAATAACCCTATTACTAAAAGAGATCCAGAGATTCAATGCAATCCCCATTAAAATACCAGTGATAATCTTCATAGAAATAGTGGGGGGAAACAATCCTAAAATTCATATGGCAGAACAAAAGATCCAGAAGAGTCAGACCCATTCAAGGAGGCATCATAATACCCAGTTTCAAATTATTCTGTAGATCCCTATAACAAAAACAACATGATACTGGCATAAAAACAGACATGTAGACCAATGGATCAGTATAGAAGAAACAGAGAATATCCCACACAGCTACAGTCATCTGACAAAAGCGACTAAAAATAACATAAAAAAAATCCATTGGAGAAAAGGTAGCCTCATTAACAAATGGTGCTGGGTAAAGTGGATATTTGTAAGTAAAAGAATGAAATGAGATCCCTGTCTCTCATCCTATACAAAATGATATGATATTTTAAAATAAATTTCCAGAGGCTAAATAGATATTATAGATTTTTTTATCTCAATAATATATTCGCATATCATCTTCATTGAATCAGCATTTTCCAAGGAATAAGAATAATTTTGATTTAACCATAGTAAAATTATTTATAATTATTTCAATAAAATTAAAAACTTGGAAGAAGTACTGTTAATGTTGTTGCCATATTTCTTTTTCTGTATTTTCATTTATTTAATATTTTGAGGCAAATTTTGGCTATGTTGCACAGGCTGATCCCAAACTCTTGAGCTTAAGCAGTTTCCCACCACAGCCTCCCAAGTAGTTGGACTACAGGCATACACCACTGAGCCCAGCTTCTTTTTCTATAAATGTTCTTACTGTAAAATCATTTTCCTGTGATGGAACTTATCTTGATAAGTCACAGAAAACTTATGGTTCTCCCTTCTCATATTATGTTCTAGGAATTAGAAAACTTTACTTCTAGTAGGATTCAAGTAATTTCTGGGAAAGTTCTTTGAAGAGGTAACATTGATTTTAAAATCTGTTCTGTTGTATATATTGAGGTTCCATTTTAATTGGTCCCACTTATTCCAAATTGCACTTTAAATTGGACTTTATTAGATATGAAGTGACCATTTTGACTTTTATCAGTAAGGCTCCAGATCTATTTGCTTGCTTTCTTTCTCTTTCAATTTCCACATATTTATAGTTGTGGAAGTCTTGTCATAACTTAATTGAACCTAGTAAAACTGTGGCAAACAAGAACAAGCAACTAGGGGCTCTTTTAATTCACTCTTTCTTTCTCTCTTTCTTTCTTTCTTTCTTTCTTTCTTTCTTTCTTTCTTTCTTTCTTTCTTTCTTTCTTTCTTTCTTTCTCATTCT